TTTTTTAAAAAAATAATAAATAAATATATATCTACATTTATATATATATATAAATATCTTTCTTTGTTAGACAGCTTAATCATTTCATGATGGAGAGCGCTCAACTCTATTAGACTAAGAATGAATTCATCAATAATCCTCAAGTTCTTTAATAGCTATATTTTCATAATTCAAAAACTACATTTTTTCACATACCCTCTGAAAACAAACCAAGATTTTGTCAGTCTATTTCATGTTTATTTTCAACAACACCATCTATTATTATGTGCTCATTTTTACAAGTTGTGACTTTCATTTTTTTCTTCAATGAAGACTTTTAATTTTTTTTCTTGATTATTACATTACATTGGAAATTCAATTAAAAATGTGTGGCTCCACGCTGAATTGGTGGTGGGAAGCCCATGGGGATTACAACTGAGATGAAAAAATGCACAAAATTAAGAATGATGAAAAAAATAAAAAAAATTAAAAACTACAATGTATAAATAAAAATATAAAATATATAACTTTTTTTGTTTTAATGTGTGGCTCTGGGCTCTCCCAAGAGGCACAACAGGTTAAGGTGCAGCACTGAGAAGCTATCAACAGCCGCTGCAGCGACAAGCTTGATCCCCAGGCAGGGAGCTCTTGATTCCCAGCCAGGGAGCTGACCCACATGGCCCAGCAGACCTCTCCTGACCCGCCCCCTGCTCCCCTCAGCAGTGTACTTCATCAGTAGGCCTGTTCTGCTCCCCACTCTGTCTCTGGTGAATCCTCTCACCACCCCTGCACCTCTAGCCTGTACCCCAGTTCCAGATGCATACATAAATCTTAAGGGAAAAAATGTGTAGCTCTAAGCAGACACTACTCAACAAAAACAAAGTAAACAATCCAGTAAAAAAATGGACAGAAACACTGAAAAGACACTTCTCCAAAGAAGATATGCAAATACTTATAATAAATTTAAAAACAAAATTAACAGATAACTCTAAATCAGAGACACTCTGCAGGAAGTGGGGGTGCGGGGAAAGAGATATCAAAACAAGGGAGGGAGGAGCACACAAGGGAGGGAGGAGCACAAAGAACTAGGGTGATGGTCAATGGGTGAATTGGTGGGATCATACAGAGACCACTCTGAGAGGAGAAAGCATACATGTAAGGAAGAATGATGTAAAACATATATAAAAGAGGGAAAAAAAGAGTGTGGCTCTAAATATATTTTTCTGGAAATCCAGTAATTAAAAAGCAAACTACTTACTTTTCCCTGATAGCTCTCCCTGGGTATTACTAATATTACAGCCACATTTGGTCTTTGTTTTGTTTTCTTGCTGTGGGTGGGACAACTGTGACTTAGGTCATGGGTAAAGGAAAAGAGTGTCTGTTTAAACTGATAAACTTAACTGCTAAATTTATCTGCTGGTAGTCTCCCCAGTTAACATTACTCTGCACGCTTTTATTAACTGACAGGCATAAATGTTTGAAAGAGGACTAAACAAAATCCTAGGATACTTGCGTAATTTTCCCCTCTATGTAATTACTAAACTTATTATTAAAGGTATTTAAAAAGTCACTTATGTCATTCTATTATAGTCTTCTATCCTCAAGAGAAAAATGTTCCAACAAGAATATGACTTATAATACATACAGCTACTGACATGTAACTTACACATGAAAAGCCAGTACAAAAAGGGTGCCTGGGCAATTAAATATGAAAATCAGAGGCCCTCCCTGGTGGCGCAGTGGGTTGGAGCACTGCACTGAGGAGCTAAACCAAGTTGTCGCTCCTTCAATGCCGAGTTTGATCCTCATGGTGAGCAGACCTCTCCTGTCTCTCCTGCTGTTCCCCTCAGCAGTGTACTTTGCTGCTCATCTCAGCAGGGTACTTTGTGGGTCTATCTGCCTTTTTTGGTCTCTGTATAATCCCACCACGAACTAAACCATCTACCTACACCAAATTCCCTGGTTCTACTCTCCACTGTTTCTGGTGAATCCTCTTGCTGCCCCTGCACATCTGGACTTTACCCCATTTCTGTATGCATAAATAAATAAAATCTTTTTAAAAAATGAAAATAAGAACAAAATCATATAACCCACCTTATTTATGTATTCCTCCATTTTATTCTTTTTAAAATATTTTTTTATTTATTTATGCATACAAGTAAAGTACTAGGGTGTCAAACCAGATTTGGGGAGGTGAAAAGACTCACCAGAGGTGGAAGGTGGGAGGTGGGGTGCAAAACAGAGAGATCTGTTGAAATGCACTGCTAAGGGAAGCAGCAGGTGAGACCAGGGAGGTCTGCTGTGCCGTGTGGGTCACCTCCCTGGCTGGAGATTGAACTCATGTGGCAGTGGCTGGCAACAGCTTGACAGCACTGACACTTTAATAACCCCTGCACCTCCACAGAGGCCCCTCTATCCATTTTATTCTTAATCTAAAGGTTTGGTAATAAATTCTGGGGATCTAATGTACAGCATTGCAACTATAGTTCATACTTCATCGCAGATGTGAAATTTCCTAGGAGGGCAGATCTTAAGCATTTTCACCAAAAATAACTTCAAGCAACTATATGATGGATATGTAGATTAACTTGATCAGTGTAACCATTTTAAAATGTATAGTAATATCAAATCATCACAATATGCACTTTAAATATAATCTTCTTTGTCAATATAACTCAATAAAGCTGAGAGGGGAAAAAAGAACTTAGTAATTTGAAAAGTGGCCCTTCTAACTGACATCTCATATCAGCTCCCAAGCGTACCTGTCACTCAGTCTATCAGCAATAGTGGGATAGAGTTGGGAGGCTGGCTCTGAGCGCTAATAACACACTTCGAAGGCAGTAAGAAGAATGAAAGAACATGATGAATTAAATTTAATCATTTTTAATGAAAAAAGTTATTGATATAGTTTAACTTTTTACCTTTTCTCTTGAATACAATTAGTCAACAATAGGTAGAGAATAAGCACAGTGTGGCTCACTGTGGCTATACTAAATGAGAATCATGGAGTGACCACAGCTATCACACTGGCACCTGGGTGATGCAAGACAAGTTGGTTCCTGTAACGGGAAGTACTTGGGGATAGAAATCGAGAAGCAGATATTCTAGCACTAGCTGTGCATTAAGAACAAATCATGTCAAGTGTCTAAACCCCCCAGTTATTCCACTAGCAGATGACAGGGTCCGTGAGTTGAAAGATTCTATACCGTGGTGGCACATTAGAATCACCTGATGAGGGCTTCCCTGGTGGTGTAAGGGGTTCAGTCAGCATGTGAAACGGTGAGCAGCCACTGCCGCATGAGTTCACTCCCCACCAGGGAGCTGACCCACACCAGTGTAGCAGACCTCTGTTATGCCTCTGGTGAATCTTCTCAACCCCCACACCTCTGGCCTGCACTCCAGTTCTTCTGTGTGGTTGTTTGCTGACAGCTTTCTCTGATAGAAGTTATTTCTGGTAAAATCTGTAATTCTAAGGTTCCCAATTTTCATTCTTCTATGTTGTTAAGTAGTAAAAGTTCTCACGAACCTGCAGGCTCTCCACTGACCTCAGCACGAACTAATCCAAAGCCATAGAGACAGGCCTAGAAAGGTCTGTCTGAATATTTTGAGGCAGCCTACCCTTCAACTATAACAACAGAAAAATGTGTCTAACAAATAATGACTTTTTTAAAAAGCCAGATTAACTGTGTATTTCCTAGGATTGCATTAAGAAAAAGGACATAACTTTTTTTCTGAATGCTGATACAGATCCACTCAATATATTCTTATTTTCCCATTGCTGCTGTTCAACTGTTTTAAATAAAATTAACACTTTCATAAGAAAACAAGGCATTATGTTTAAAGTATAAAACCATTTATTTGACTGTAACCTAATATTTAAATATATGCACAGTTCAGCATATGACTTGATTATAAACAAGCAAAATAGAGGGAAAATGTGACAGTTTGCTGTCACCCAAAATGTGAGTTTCCTACCTGACTATCCGTTTATTAAGCATGACTTTCTCCTGTTCACTCTACTAGGTATATAGCAGGTATATTCCCAACAAACCACTGGAAAAGGGTTATTTATTCTAGTCCTCTCATAACTAATAAAAATAGTATAGCATCTTACCCCTGGATTGGTACTAAGAAGTGTGGAGTAATCAACAAGTCATCTAACCTCTGCTCTGATTTCCTCATCGTAAAAAGAGAACAGAAAGTACAATCCAAATTACTGGAGAGAACTGGGAAAAAATACAAAACCTGGAAAGGAATATAAGGAGCAGTAATCTCTACAAACTCCTTCAACTTTGTTAAAATGAGGAAGAAAAAGACCCACATAAGCTGTCAGCATCTAAATTGCAAGGTAAGACACTAA